GAATCAAATTTATTTTTGAGCTGTTGACGATCAACGGTGGATGGTTGGAGTGCTTGATGGTTGACCTGAGCTATACAGCCTGTTCGGCTAGGGTGAAACGATCGTAAATTTTCAGCCAGAACAGTATTTTTCCCTCACACCAACCCACCAAGCGGATTTCTTCACGAATCAGCAACGAACCAGCCCAGTCAAACGAACAGGCCTGCAGGAAAAAAAAAACTTATCACAACCTGTGTACAATGCGTAGTCAATCACGTAACGTCTTTCAAACTCAGTTGTTTGAATTTTTATTATCTGATTTGATTAAATATAAATATCAAAGCTTCTTTTCCTTTATTGAAAATACGTGGTGGAAAATCTATACTAGTGATGGAAAGCACAAAGCACAACAAAACACCCAGATGATCCAAACGTGAAAAAGGTAAACCTCTCTCTTTATGCTCTCGTTTTTTCTCTCCCAGAACTTTGCAATACGGCGATATCCACCCACTGGACAGTGGACACCCACCGCGCTCGTTCCAACCCGTAAAAAAAATCCCCGAAAATCCGAGCGGCCTCCACGAACTCTCCTCCGCTGCAACGACATAAAAGAGCCGCGTCGTCCCTTCCCCTCCCGGCTTCCAGGACTCCTGCACCCCGCATCTCTCCCCTTCCTCCCCAACAACCCCGCCGCCTCCGACGTTGACCTCGGCGGCCGCCGCCGGCGAGGCCGCACCTCGCCGGTCACCTACTCCCTGCTACTCGATCCGTATCTCCTACTCCGAGGATCACCGTAGCCGCCTCCGGCCGCCCACCCGCGGAACCCTAGATCTCCGATACCCCGCGCGCCGTCCCGCCGACGGCCACCCGATCGGAATGGGCCGCAATCTTCAGTAAGGTCAAAGGACCCAAGTGTACCCTACTCCGCCTTCGCGCGTGCGCGAAGCGCCGCCGCGATGGCGATCCGCATCACCGTGTCCTACTCGGGCTACGTGGCGCAGAACCTGGCCGCGTCCTTCGGCCTGCGCTGCACCGCCGCCGCTGCGGGCGCTGGCGCGGCGCCCGGCGCGGGGTGCCGCTTCCTCCAGGACGCGCTATCCCGCCCCTTCTGCCTCTTCGCCTCCTCCCGCGGCGCCGACGCCCACCATGACGCCGAGGATCACAACCACCCGGAGCCCAGGCCCAAGGCTCTGCCCCCCACCGCCGCAGCAGGAGGCGGATACTCACTGTTGCTGCCGCGGTCGTGTTCCACGAAGGCGGCGGCGCCGGTGGATGACCCCCCAGCCTCGTTGGCCGTGGGGCTGCTGTCGGTGTTGGCGTCTGGGAAGGGATCGACTGGTGGCATTGCTGGTGCATCCTCCCTCGCTGCCTCGCCATCAATATCAGCCGGGTTCAACCCTTCGGCGCTCCTCCCGTTCCTGCAGGCGACCAAGTGGCTCCCCTGCAGCGACATAGTCACTGCCGCGACGACGTCTCGCAGTTCAGGACGCCCAGCAGGTGCGACCGCTGCGCCTGCACCGCGCACAGCTGCACCATCTCCCCGTCCTGCACCACGGGCAGCTGCTCCATCTCCCTGTCCTTCACCTGCTGTTGCTGCTCCTTCCAAGGTCGGCATACAAGCATTGGTTGGTAGTGCTAGCATCGCCTCAGGTTCAGCTGTGATTGGAAGGGGGGCTATTGCCTCTGGTGCAGCTGGAATGGTGAAGAAGAGCGGTGCAAGTCTTCCTGCTGGAGCAGGGGTGAAAAGGAAGACCAGTTGGCTCTCAAGGTGGGTGAGCTCATGCTCAGATGATGCAAAGACTGTCTTCGCCGCTGTGACCGTGCCACTGCTCTATAAATCATCCCTAGCTGAGCCTAGGTCCATCCCATCCAGGTCAATGTTCCCAACATTTGATGTTGGTGATCGGATCCTTGCTGAGAAGGTATGTTTTATTTTGGTTCCCTTTGTTAAATGATGAATACCGATGTGTATTTATTATGTATCATTTGCTTATATTGGTGAACAGGCATCTAATGTCCAGCCCCTATTGTGACTGTAGGTTTCGTACATTTTCCGGGAGCCAGAAATTTTGGACATTGTGATCTTTCGTGCACCTCCAGTCCTTCAGGTGTGATACCTTGTTTCTCCATTTTGTCTTATGTAGTTCATTAGAGCTTCTTCTTATTGTAATAAGAACAATCTCTTTGTAGGCATTGGGCTACAACTCAGGTGATGTGTTCATCAAGAGAGTTGTGGCTAAGGGCGGTGACATCGTTGAAGTAAGCTTTTATCCCAATGGTAGTAACCTCTTTATATTTTCCATAATTTTGGCATTACATTTTGATTTTCGGGGATTATATGAACCAATCGGTGTCCCTTGTATTTAATAGGTACGTGATGGTAACTTGTTGGTTAATGGAGTAGTTCAGGAGGAGGAATTTGTGCTGGAACCAGCCGACTACGAAATGGATCCACTGGTATAACAACTAATCTTCTTACCACATGCTACTAAAAACCATTATTTTGTAGTCCTGTAAGTAAGTTGACACCATCATAGTTATGTGCATCAATTCTTAGACTTTTGAATTGTTAGAAATTGGTTGTGACCTCAAAATTGTTCCTGTGTTCTATGTTGGTGGATGGTTCTTTGGGCTGCACCTGTTATGTGTTGATCACATATTAAGTTTACTACTTTCATCCACTGAATCTATGTACACGTGCTGATTAATTGTTGTTGCTTTTGGCCAGACTGTGCCTGAAGGCTATGTCTTCGTACTGGGGGATAACAGAAACAACAGCTTTGATTCACATAACTGGTATGCTAGATCTCTAATGGAGGATTTACGTTTCAGTTTTTAACCCCGGTTTCTACAGCAATAGCTCATGTGTTGTGTTGTTTCTGCAGGGGTCCGCTTCCAGTTAAGAACATCCTCGGGAGATCTGTCCTCCGATATTGGCCACCATCGAGAATAACAGATACAATATATGAGCATGACATGGCGCAGTACACAGCTGCCGCATCCTGATAAAACATTGTGGCAATACCACATGTTGCAGGCCCATTTTTCCTTTCCCAGCTGAGCTTTACTGACAAGTGATATGCTGAGCCGTGGGGTTCTTTATTTATTGGTTGTAGCCATTCCTCAAATGCCGATTGGCAGGTTGGCTGACAGATTAGTTTTTTCCCTCCCTACGGGCAGATGCTTGTTTGAAGGCAACAATTCTTGTACTCTGTAGCTAAGAATGAATGTCATATAAATGTTGCAGAAGTAGATGAACGAGCATCAAGGACTGTAGGATGAGGATGTCAGTTCTCTTGTTTTATGAGAGTTGGTGCTCGAAACTTATGTAAAGGAAATACAAAGCATTTAAGATTTGCTCAGCTTGTGCTATGTATTTTTTCATTCCTGAATCTTGGATCAAAGATTCAAGGCAAGGTCAGCCTGGTGCTAAGGTTTTGGTTGAATCCGTGTATCCTGCCTGATAAGGTTTCTTGTGATGATAAAATTTAGGAATAGAATCTAACCTAGTATCTAGTGGTTTCTAGTCCTGTATTCATTCATGATGTAATGCAACTTTGTGAGCATAGTTCCTGTTTGTCCTGTTTTGTTCTATGGCAGTGCAGGTTCAGTACAACTTTGCCTGATGTTTTTGTCTGTTATTTTCTTTGTAAATGATTTTTTTTCGTCTGTTACTTTTTTTTTCCAGATATTTCATATGGTTTGGAACTGTCTGTGTTTAAAAGATACTTCCTCCATGTTCCTAAAGAAAGTCGTTTTGAGGTTGTCAAATATTTTAAACTTTGACTACAAATAAATTCTTTTGGGTTGAGTTTGAAAACATGAAAGTGATGTAAGTAGACTCGTCACGAAATGTAGTTTTACAAAAGTATATAATGACTACTCCCTCCGTCCAACAATAAAAGCACGTTTAGGATTCAAATGAAAAAATATTGTAGATGTGAAATTACATTTCTGCCCGTAGAAAATGTAGCTGTCATTTTTTGCCGTACGAAGATTGGCAGTGCAGTTGGTGCGGCTGCCGCCTGGAGCCAGCAAACGAGTGGTGGAGAGCATTCCACGTAATTGAGCATTCAAGTTTTTTTTTTCTCCATCGATGGTTCCAGAGTGGCATTTACGCTAGCTTAGATTGTACGTACGGAGACCAGCACTGCTCCTCATCGAATCCCTTTATTTTGGGATTTTTTTTTAACTGTAAACATGCAATTAAATTTGGACAGAGGAAGTACATTCTATAAATATTTTATAGCAAAAAGTAATGGTCAAAGTTATTTTTTTGGACTATGTCACTGTCTAAAACGACTTTCTTTAAGGTCATGGAGGGAGTATGACATTTAAGCCAAACTGATTAGTTTGTATTCCCTCCGTGGCTCTGACTCAGAATAAATAACTCGGTACCTGGGATGTGTTTGAATGCTGAAGCTAATCACCGAGTGTATGCAAACGATAACTGCTAAATCTAAGAGATATTAGGAGGTATAACTGCCAAAATCTAAGATATTCTCTGGAAAACGAAAAGGAAAAGAGCTGAGGGTAACTGATATTCTCCTGGTAAAGGAAAGGGAATGGGGAGAGTTAAGGTAACTGATATTCTCCTGGTAAAGGAAAGGAAATGAGGAGAGTTATTTATTTTAGAATGGAGGGAGTATGGTATTGTTCTGAAATGGTTTAGCTGATGGCTGAGGGCTGAGGGCCAGGAGTTCCATCAGAAAAATTGCAGATAAAACAATGAAGGCTAAAATATAGTACGGGTTGAAAACTCATCAATACAGGCATGGCTATAAAATTGAACAAGGCAGACGTACTCAGAACATGCAAAGTGCTAAAGACAGCCATTGCAAGAAGGCAGTATGAATAATGTACGATTGTACCCACACAATTGCCAGAAGCAATACAAAATTTGAACTTATGTTACAGCCCATTTCACGTTCAGGCACACTTCCAGCCTAAGTATACATGAAATTGATGTGTATGTGTAATTTTCTATCAGCCCTACGAGAAGTAGATCAGAGCAAAATCTATTACCACTTCACATCCAGCGACAGCGGTTCTGGTGGCAAAATGAATGACAGAAACTTTGTGAAAGAAATATTTGAAGCAAGGCTGCCCCAAGTAGTGGTGTCCACTACTGGAAACTGCCTTCTAACCTTCTTCACCGAAATAGCCTTCAACCTATCATCATCTTCCACTCTGGCTATAATGTCAACTGGGACTCGCTGGACCATGGGTTTCGTTTTCCACTCTGGAACATCTTCCCAGATGGGATCCTCTTCAGTGATGTCCCTTTCAAACTCCAAACGGAATTTCACCAAAGGTATTGATGTCACTTTAGCTTCAATGAAGTGCATTGAGCTATTCTCGTGGTTTCTTTTGCTAAACCAAGTCTTCAAGATCTTCTCAAGCTTTATCAGTCTCGGGCTAATTGAGGAGAACAAAAACTCTGAGATCAACCGATTTGCTATGTTGACTTTACACTTGTCTGACAATAACTCTATAGTATCATGTGACCTTAAGAAAGTCTTCACATGGCCTCCAGATACACTTGTTTGATGCACGACAATTACGACTGATCCTACAACACCCACTTGAAGTAATGGGGCACAGGTTGAGTAGCTCAAAGGCCATATTTGGCTTAGGTCGTTGTTACTAGTCAACAAACTTCCATTTGATAAAAGACCTATACTGTGAGGGTGGGTTACGGAAACTTTCTGTGCACCAATGACCTTTAATGCAATGCCATCCGCAACAAATATCCTCTTAAGCCTTGTATATGTGGCATTCCCCTGCATAAGAATTAATAAGTGCAACATAAGATTCTGCAAACAATCGAGGAACAAATTACAATGTACATTTCCTAATGCTATGAATTGATGAAACATACGTTTAATAAAACAGGATGGCCATATAAATCTACTAAGGACGATTTAGCCTACGATGATTGATGTAAATTCATTAAAAGATACTAGCACAGAATATGAAGTAGTCACTAATTCATCAAAGAATGGGTACTATATGCAGCAAACCAAGAAACCATAAGCTTTTGTCAAATGCTCATCAAATGTCAATTGAAAAGTGAATTAGTAATACAGGTTCAAAAGTGACATTGGCAGCATAACTCTAAATCAAATATCCAAAATCTATCCAGCAAAGTTCTGAAGGGCGGGCCTGGTGCAAGCGGTAGAGTCTTACCGCCTATGACTGGAAGGTCCCGGGTTCGAGTCGTGGTCTCCTCGCATTGTACAGGCGAGGGTAAGGCTTGCCACTGACACCCTTCCCCAGACCCCGCACAGAGCGGGAGCTCTCTGCACTGGATACGCCCTATCCAGCAAAGTTCTAACCAGTAAGCATCGACAGGGTTGCTGTGATGCTATTGCAATGGTATTGCAAAGTGTATGGCTTTATGCATTAATAATAAAACAGGTAAACAAAGGGAAATAATAGAATAGCAAGATCGCTGCAGCAATACTTGCAAAACCTAAACCCCTCCAAAAAAACCATAGACTTCACTCCATAACCAAAGCAAATCTCCATGTCCTGTTACCCTGTTCATACCCTTCTCCATTGTACTCAGCAAAGCCAGCAATACCCACAGTATATGATAAGCCAGAAAAAGAACATTTGTTTTCTGTGTCACCGGTCATTCCATCTTGTCTTTTTTTTATTGAGCTACATTTGCTTCCAACTTAAACAATCAGAAAGTTACATTCACTTCTATCTAAGAAAACCGCCATCTATCTAGATTTGCATCAGTAAAGCGGGGAGAAAAAGGGCAGAAGCATCCTAATTTGAATTTCTATGAAAAATGCCATCTATCTGTATCCATCAATGACAAATTTCCATATAACATGCACCAATGATTACCTACTGAAATGAAACTCAAATGAACACAATATATTACACTATGCTTAACCTTCACCATCAACGGTCCATTACTTGATAACCCCAATTCAGACAAGTTAGAACAGAACCTTGAATCAAGCTCAATTCTGATTGTACACAATTGCCTTACCAATACGCAACGGCAGCAAAAAATTGGGCAAAAACAATTGAAGTGTCAGTACAATTTGAACACACAAAACAAACTAAACCAGGGTCCTTACTGATTTGACATTCAACTACTACTACTACTACAAACAAACAAACAAACAAACAATATAAAGTCATCAGCAACACTAAATAACGGGGGGGAAATATATACGTGCAGATATACTTCTACAGTACTAGCTCCTGCTAAATCAACTTAGCGGTTGAACCCATCAAAACTTTGAACTAACACAACTTTTAAACCAACCTTTACTACAGTAGAAAACTAGCATGCAAGCAACTGATCGGGATCGGATGCAAAATCGGGAACAGCGCCAGATCAAAGTCAACCCACTCACCGATGGTAGCTGGAGCTCGACGAGGCCACCGTCCTCGTTGCCAGCAAGTTTCAATTCCAGCGGCCCAACCAGCTCCACGTCCCTCACGCCGGTGTCGAACCCGAACGCTCCTTCGGCGGGGACGACGTCGACCCCGTCCGGCCCGTCCACCTCCTCGACGGCCGGCGCGGAGGGGCGTCTCCACTGCACGGCATCGTCGGAGAACCGCGCCAGCGCCGCCGACCCGCCCGCCCGCGCCCGGAACTCGTACCGCTGCACGGCGCCGACGCGGACGGCGTCGGCGTCGAGCGGCCAGACCCTGACCTCGGCGTCCGGGTCCCAGTCGTACTTCTCCGAGACGGCGTCGATGACCTCCTCGAGGAAGGTGGGTTCCGGGGCTGGGTCCTCCAGCTCCGCGTCGGCGGAGATGGAGGCGGAGCCGTTGGAGGAAGCGGTGAGGAAGGAGAGCTCGGCGGCGGCGGACGGCGAGGGGGCGGAGAGGAGCAGCAACGCGAGGAGGAGGAGGGAGATTAGAGGGAGGGCCGAGGAGGAGGAGGAGGCCATGGGGGTCGGAGGATTGAGGAACGGTAGGTCTGGTGGCGGGTCCTCTTCCCCGACGAAGGGATCTCTTCACGGAGGGGGACGATGACGACGATGGTGGTGGTGGGTGCGCTCGTTGTATATGGTTAAAGCCGTATACGCAAGGCTGACGTGTAAGCCCGGTGAGCGAGATTGATAAAATTCTCTCGGGTTGTCTCGCTAAAGCGGCCTTGCACAGTGGCATCTAGAAGAAATGCTCACGGTCACGGCGGGGCCTCCTAGGCACGTTTGGTTTGTACGTACGGAGTATACGATAGCCAAACTCTTCTTCTTTTTTTCAAACGTTTGTTTTTTTTTGTGTTTTTATATGGAAATAAAACTGATTCTTATAAAATTCCTATATAATTTTACAAAATTCCTATGTTCCAAAGATGTCAAAGATGTTTGATTCAATGACGGAAGAAGGGTCTCTTTGGTATCGCTTTATAAGCTATTTATTGTTAATATAAAGTAAGCTGGAACCCGCGGTCAAATGATATGTGTTTTGCATCTTGTTTGAGGAGCGATTATTCCTACCGTTTTTATTTGTAGTAAAAAAATATAAGCTAGATTAAATCAGCTTATTTTGATAATAGTTTTTATTCTATTTGTGTAGCTTATCAGAAGAGCACCTTCTAGATAAGTTGTACCAAAAAGTCATCATGTGATTTTTTTTTGTGTGCAAAAAACGAAATAACGGACTGAGATGGTCCCATAGTGCAAACCAAACACCCGAACAGTACTTCATTCATCTCATAAAAAGATGGAAAATAGAGATAGGCCAGAAGGACAAAATTAGAAGAGTATAAGAAAATGTGACGTTGTCAAGTTGGACAAGGAACAGACACCCTAGCCTTCTGGTACAACGTACAGTCTGCAAGCAAATTAGTACTCCCTCCATCTCAAATTATCTGTCGTTTTGAAGTTTCATACCTTAAGTTTGATTAGATTTGTACAAATACATGCAACATTTGTATCTTCAAATAATTTTATTACGAAAATAGATTCAGCAATCTATCTAATGATATTAATTGTGTACCATAAATATCAACATATTTTTAAATAAAATTAGTCAAAGTTATTTCTCGGGAAACAAGAACGATGGTTATTTTGGGACAGAGAGAGTACATGAATTAGAAAAAAAAAACTTGCGCTTTGTGTTTGTTTTGGACGATGTTGGTACCAACTTTTGAGGAAGACAATACAACTTCCTCTCCCTCTCTGCATAAAGACTAGACAGCCATTAATCTCATAATAGACATATGGCCATTTGAAATTACCATAATACATTTTTTTCTTCCTTTTTGCGTCAGAGAAAAACACGGATTTTTACCCATTACGGGCATCTCCGTATTTCGTTGCTAAAGACCACGAAATTATTAATACCGTCGGCACTGATCAGAAGACAAAATACTGCAGATTCGACAATTACAAAATACTGCAGATTCGACAATTATAAAATATAAGGTCGTCACAGCAAAAGCCACGTTCCTCTCCACAGACCATTGATGTTCCAATTTGCGAAGGTTCAACAACTCAGTTCAAAACCACATCCCTCTCCAGTGACCACTGGTTTCACAACTCAGTTCAAAAGGGAAACACACAAACTATACATCAGAAATTCAGAACTAAAACTCCAGCCTGCAGGAGAAACCGAGAAAGCTTGCAGGGACACACACCTCACACCCACTCCAGAACTATCAGAAATTAAAAACTCCAACATGCCATCATTTGTCCTCCAGCAGTGACGAGTTTGGCACCACATCAAAAGATTCTTGCCCACAGGCAAACAAGTTGTACTGATATTACACAAGCTGTAGAGAAAACCAAGACCAAAATTAGCTGAATGTCGTACTGATATTATTACATAGTATATCTATTTCTGCCCTGCTCGTCTAGTCGAACATGCAGATTGAACAGAAACTTAAAAAAAAAGACATCCTTTTATCCAAACCAAGTAGCTGAACTGGGTATGGAAGTGTCTTATCACATTGAAATATTACTAGCTACTTATTCTTGTGAGTGTAGTCCATAGTTTTATTATTTACATTTGACAGCAAACAATATGATAAAAAAGAAACATGTGAAGCTAAACAAGAATACCATGCCAATGAGGTCAAAATAAAATTAACTTATAGTTTTCCATGCTCAGGGGTAATCAGAGAACACTAGCGTGTTTTTTCACAACGGTAAACCCGAATTTCATTTCCGAAGCACAATGTCAATGATTCCATAGTAGCAAAATAAAAGCGCCCACCCGCCAAACATCCATATATCACAGAGGGACCGAAAAATATGGAACTACTGCATCCACACAAAAGCCAAGATTAATTGATTCCCCAGAAGAGGCAAGCAACAGAAGTTTAACAACTTTGATACATGAGATGACAGTACATACTACATAGGCTGGCTTCTACTGACACTAAACAGCACGGTTATCTCCAAGACTCCAAGGATCAAGAACACTAGTGTGTTGCTCAAAAGATATCTTATTCACTTATCGTTTACCTTTGCTCTTGTTACATCTTTTTGCTTAATGCAACTCCCTGAAGGGTCTGCATTCTTCTTTATCCATGGATGCTTCATAATGTCTTCAAGGCAAAGCCTCTTGCTTGAATCCTTAACTAGAAGCTGCATGCACAGTCACTTAAAATAAATAGTCCAGCCCACACCCATCACTTACTAATATCTTATATAACCACTACTTTTAGATGTCACCTTGGAAATGAGATCCTTAGCCTCTGAAGATACATAAGGAGATGAAGGGAATGCCAAATCCACCCTAACTATCCTGCACAAAATTCATGTGGCACAAAATGTTAAGGAATGAAGACCAGAGAGAAAAAAGCAGATATTTCAGCCCATACCTTCTCAAGGTATCATCCTGTTCATCAGCTTCAAATGGAGGTGAACCATATAAGAACTCATACCACAGGATTCCCAGTGTCCAGTTGTCCACAGCATGGTCATGAGCTTTTTTCTCTACCATCTCTGGTGCCAGATAATCGATTGTGCCACAGAGTGTGTGTCGTTTAGCATTTGAACGAGCTGCCCATCCAAAATCTGCAATTTTAAGCCGGCCCTGGAGAAAAAGGAAGTTAGCTAGTTATACCCAACACGATAGCATTTGATGCATCAAGAGTTATACCCAACACGATAATAACAGCTTTTCAGAAATACTGAGGCATTGAAGTCTGAAGAAACATTTGTATAACCATTTCTCCACATATGTTAGTGAACCGGCAGTAATATGTTATATGTGTTTCCAGATTCATTCATAGAGGCATGATATATATCAAGTCCAGGTGTGACTTATGCATGATGAATTACTCTTACCCTTATCGAGATGTAATGACAAGTATCATCTGCTTCGTACATATATACAGTGCCTTGAGTTTTTCTTCTTTTTTATGATCAATGGGAGGAGAGAATCCCAACCTGATTCATTTATTCATTCCTAAGAGCACATGGGCTACATATTTGAAGTAAACACTGAGCAGCATGCCTCAATAGTAGCTAGATCATCTGCGCAACAGTTTAACTTGATTTTCATATTTTAATGTTGTCTATATGAATTTCCTTCCTAGACAACATTTAAGTTTTTGACACTTACAAAGAGCCAAGTCTTACAGTCTGCATTGTTTGCATAAATAGTGAAATGCTTTTATATTGTACACTTAAGAGGGGCAAACATTTAGAGGAAGAATTTCCAACCTATGTGATCAGCTGTAGATTGGATTCTTCAGAAAACTTAAAGCAATGGTTCTATTAGATCCTATTATATGCAGAAAATAGAGTACTAGATCATCAGCCTATTAAAAATATAACAAAAAGGTGCAAAAACTACGGGCACTACCCTGGAGCAAAGTATTTTACAGTAATGATTACGTTAGAATCCATTTTGTGTAGAATATGTCTGTCTGGTAAAAAAAAATTACAACAACACAAAAAACAGTAAAAGTACAAAGACAGACAGATAAATTTGCTTGCAACAATAAATAACAACAGAATAAATGCATAAATTAAATATGGTGCTAGAAACAATAACAACCGCAACAACCTCATAAAGAAGAACCAACCTCGATGTCGAGCAGCAAATTCTCAGGCTTGATGTCCCTATGGATGACTTGCTTCTTGTGACAGTATGCCAGTGCACCAGCAAGGCTCGCGACATACTAAAACAAGTTCTAGGCTTCATTGGTGTCACAATCTAACAAAAGAATCGCAAATCAGAAGGAAACCTGCATAAATATATCATGCTCTAGGGCGTGGTATGGCAATGCCAGCGCAAGTTCTTGGCCATTAATAGCGTCATCACAAGTTGAGACTGAGACAGTGTCATGCTAAAAGAGATGCCATGAATTCTCACTATGTTTCGTGTATAAGGCCCCATTTAGTTTCCCCCAAAATCCAAAAAAATTTGCGCAGTACCCGTCACATCGAATCTTGCGGCACATGCATGGAGTACTAAATGTAGACGAAAAAAAAAACTAATTGCACAGTTGGGTGATAAATCACGAGACGAAACTTTCGAACCTAATTAGTCCATAATTAGACACTACTTACCAAATAAAAACGAAAGTGCTACAGTACCCCCAAACCCAAAAAATTTTGGATCTAAACACGCCCTAAATGTATGGGTTCAGGGGAATAAAGTCATAAACTGCAGAGCGCACTGCATGTGCAACACATGGGTAGTAGTTCATATAAACATTTGGTTCAGCTTAACTTGTAAAATGGGATTGATCATTTGCCTTGCATTCCTAGGAAATGCATTAGAGTTTCTAAAGAATACTTAATACGGCAATCAGATAAGGCAAAGATCCATAAAATCCAAAGATCATTTTGAAAGATTATTAAACGGCACTAATATTTCCAAATGTCAAATTATTTTCAATGTCAACTGCCTTTTAATGATCTGTAACTTTAACTTGTAACCATTGCACATAATGTACCAGCAATCAATGACTTATTCTGTCATACTC